TTTTTTTTTTTTTTTTCCTTAAGGGAAGGGGGTGTTCAATATTATTTTAAAGTCAAAATGAGTTGGAAAAACGGCCCTGGTGTCGGGTCCCCGGAGGAGCCCGGGGAGGGGAGTCGGGGAAGGGCTCAGGGGGGCCCGGGGACAGAGCGTAGGGAGAGTCGCTGCCGCCAGCTGCTATGAACCGGGACCGGGTCGCGGCCAGGTCGGAACCTCCCCCGGAAGCGCCAGGGGCCGAGCGTGGGGCCACCATCCTGGGCTCTTTTTGTCCCAGAAGCTAAAGCCCACCACGTGGCCTTGGGGCGGTGGTGGCTGTAAGCACAAGGCCTAGGACCGCCTTTAAGTGGCCCTTTTTTGCACACCCGCTCACACGCGTTCAGCCACCCAACACACACACCCAAGGCACCGAACATGGAACTTTCTGAGGTCTCCAAATATTAGAGGCTCGTTTGGGTTTGCTGTGTGTCAGGCCACGGGGTCAACCAGAGAGATTCAATTCTCAGAGGACCCTCCTTGGAGGAACGCGGATCCTTTGAGCTCTAGGACTTAAAATTAAAGCCCTACCCGCCCCACGCATCTCCTGGGGCGACGGTTGGAAGCTGGAACTTCTTACGGTCGGTACGTTTATACCGCTGTGTTCTTTCTCTCTGCCCACAGACAGGGGTTTCTGCTCCAGGCAAGGAGAACTCGCGTCCTAATTAGAGCCCCAGAGTCAGGGGTGACAGGTTGGAACTCACTAACCCCCTCCCAAGAATGTCTACTCCAAAAAGCCCCCTCTAGTCCTTGGGCGCCACTCACCTCTGAAAGCGGCTCAGAGCTGTGTGCGAAACCCTTAGATGTCCCCACAGCCCAGACATAATAGGCTTGCCAAGGGGAAAGGCCTCCAGCAGCCAAGCGAAGGGTAACTACCTAGAACCCCACGGCCCCCCAGGACCCCCGAGCTGGACCCAAGCCCACTGCGCTCCACCTTCTAGCCTCCAAAGCCTCTGAGGGTCAGGCTGTCTTCGTAGCTTCAAAGCCACGTTCATCTTCTGGAAGGGAGGTGCTTCCTAGAGCAGCCGGGCCCTGCCAGCAGTCAGCCAGTCCTTGAGCTGAGCCGTCCGGACCCTGCCTCCTCGGTGTCTCTCAGCCTGCGCCCCCAGCCTTGGGCCCAACAGAGAAACTGGTCAGCAAAGTCCTGGAGACGCTAAGGCGAAATTGGCGCTGAAAAATCAGCAGGCCCCACGCTGAGCTGGGGGAGGACGCGCTGCGCCGGAGACCCCCGAAGCCTGGCTTTTCTGGGAGCTCAAGGAAAGCGCGTTCACTGCCCCTCACTCCCAGCCTGCAGAGGTCGGCCCGGGCTTCCCAGAAACCTCCTCCCCGGGAGCGGAAGCCGCACCTTCTGCTGCCGGCTTCCTCGCCGAGGCCGTCTCTCCCAGCCTAACCCTCCCCTTTCCAAAGGGCCCCGATTTCGCTCTGCCCTGTCCCTAGCGGGCCCTCTTTCGGGTTCCCCTGGCCCCTGGGCTACGCACGAAAGGGAGAAGGGGGCCGGACCTCCAGCAAGGAAACGGGCAGCCGTTCGGGAGCCAGAAGGCTGGCGCTCCCGCTGTAAACCTCAGAAACCAAGTCCAGGCCGCGGGCGCAGCCGGCGGACTAAGCTGTCCATTAAGAAAAGCTCTCTTTGTCGGAATTATAGGACCAGGTGCGTGAGGCAGCCGCCAGGGGCGACCCTGGAGGTGTGGCGGCCCGACCCGGGAGGCTCGGCGTCCCCGCGGTCCATCAGAACTTATCTTCACGGCGCCAGCTTTCGGCTTCCGTAAGGCCTCCGAAAGACGCCTCTGTCGTGCGCCTGGTTTCCCCGGAACTCTGCCCGCAGACCCACAGCGCAGGGTATAAGCAGGAAGCCTGTGCTCGGCTTCTGCGGAGACCACCCACCCTTCCACCTGGAGAACAGAAGCAGGGAGCAAATCCGCGAGCCTCCGAAGGGCCCGCTTTGTAATGAAAAATGTACATTGAGATACTGAGAGCGCCTTCCAAGTACCCCTGAGGCCTCTCCATGGTTTTGTGCCGCCTATTCACGGTGCCTGTCCCGTTGTTTGTCCGCCTAGGACCACCCTGCTCAGGCCTCTCAGCCCGAAAGGCCGGGCGAGGAGCCGCGGAGGCTGCAGGCCCAACCACACCAACGGGGCCCGGCCGTGCGCGCCGGGGACGCGTCTCGGGGGCTGGACCCTGCGTTGGGACAGACAAGGGTGGGCCCGTGACCCAGAGCTACCCCGGGCGCCCTGCGGGCAGCAGGGTGGGTTTAATTTACAGAGCCGGGCAATGTACGTTCAGTCCCCCTCGCGGATCAAGTGCAAGTTTTCTATGAAAGGACACAGCGCGGAGGGTTCAGATGTGCCACCGTGCGCTGTCCTCCCTGGCGGCCGCCGGCCAACGAGCGAGTCCGCACGGCTTCCAGCTCGGAGAAACGGCCGGCCGTGGCGCTCGGGGAGCCGGGAGCGGCTCTCCTCCGCGCCTGCCGAGGTAGATAGAAAACGGACAGGCAGACAGACGCACACCCAGCTGCGCTACCTAAGGAACACTGCGGTCGCAGACACAGCCAACGAGATCCACGCCAGCTCGGGGAGGTTCCCGTGGCGGCGCGCAGAACCACGGCCCCGGGGGCAGCGCGCAACCCCAGCTCCGGCCTCAGCGCCCCCGCCTTGTCCCTGAGTCTCCGCCGCTCTTCCGTTTCGTTTCTTGCTCTGGAAAGACTTGGGAGCCCCTGCGCAGGCCTCTCCGCCCGAGCCGTGGCTGTCATGGATTGGTTTCGAGGAGGATGGAGAGCTAGCCGCGGCGCCCAGCTCGCCCCGCGCTGAGAGGACCAAGCCGGGAGGGACCCACAGCTGGCTGCGGGACAGCTTACCTTCCAGTGCCCTCCCCGCGCCGAACTCCTTCAGTTTGTCCTTGTCGCTGTCCACGTGGTCCTTGAACAGATGCACGGGACAGTGGCCGCTGCCCTCGGTAATGTCCTGGAGGTTGGCTTCGGAAGTGCCCAGGTCCCGCGAGCGCGCCAGTCCGCTCTCCAAAACTTCCCTGTAAGTGATCCCGTCCTTCTTGCAGCCGCCGCCGCCGCCCACGCTGGTCTCCTTGCTCTTCTGGTCAAAAGACTTCGAAACAAAAGCCGTCAGCTCTTCCATGGCTGCCCGGGACTGCGGGGTCCGCGGGGCGCGGCGGCGCTGGCGGCGAGCCGGGCTGCGGTCCGTCCTCCCCGGCGGAGAGGACGCTGGGCGCTGGGCAGGTCGCTCCCGCTGTTATTTATGTCCTTCAATGGGAGATCTCACTATTTATACAGGGCTACCTCGCCCAACCCCCAGCGCTGTCTGTCCGCAGCAATTACGGGAGCCGGCTCCGCAGCGGGCGCACGCCGGGCGCTATCTCTCCCCCACCTCCAGGCCAGCAATTGGCTTCCTTTGCATTTCATCACTGCTTGGCACCCGCGCAACTTGGAGTGGAGAGGTGAAGATCGGGTTTTTGAAAACAGAGAGAGACGGAGTGCGCGCGAGCATCTCTGGGCGTGCGTTCTATCAATGGGCGGCGGACCAGAAACTCAAGGACCCTTTACCGATCGTAAGGAGATGCACGCTGGCCGGCCGGGGAAGCCATGACCCCGCTTCAGAAAGGAACGCGCCGGGGCGCGGCAGAGCGGGGACACAGAGGGGCCCCGGACGGAGCAGGCGCGCACCCAAGAGTCGAAGACTCCAAGTTGGAGATGCGGTTTCATGGGGCGCGGACGAGTGGCGGAGCGAGCGTCGCGCGGGGGGCTGATTGGGGAGCAGCTTGGGTGTCCCCCCAAAGCAGAAGACCTGTGTCAGCAGGTTCGCAGACCGCAAAGGCGCCCGGCGTCCATCTAGGCAGCGGAGCCGGGGACCCCGCGCGCGCCACTGGAGAAGCCTGCGCCGCGGCACCGAGAGCGGGTTGGTAAACACTAGCCCCCGCGCGGCGGAACCTACGCCTCCGTCCTCCTCAGAAGCCCGAGTCACCCCGTGTCTAGAATGCTTATCGGGGGAAAGTCTTTTTTCTGCGTTTGTTTTTCCGCTAGCTGCTTCCCGCCCCCTGTCCCCTTTCCTCCGTGTGCGTTTGAGTAACCGCTCTCCTCACCCGCCACGCGAAATGCATTTTAAAATCCTGGCAACCAAACGTGTTATTCCTCTCTGCAAAATTCCTTCTGCCAATAAAGTTGACTTTCCCAGCCCCGTCCTTTTATTATTATTATTTTTTTCCTGTCATCTTCCCCTCCAGCCCCCCTTTAGAGGAGGGGGGAAGCGAGGCTTGTTTTGGGGTGTGTTTGTGGGGGAGGGGTGTGATTCCTGGAGGAGCTCGGTTTTTTGCGTTTTGTCTTTTTTTTCTAAAGTGCGTCCCATCTCTGAAGCGTTTGATCTTCAGACCTCAGGATCGATCCACCCTCCGCGCTGAGCGGCTTGCCCAGAGCCGACCCCTGTCTCCTGCGGCGGGAGGGAGAGAGCGCCAAGTCCCTGGCATCCGCCGCCGCCCTGCGCGCGCCTCGGGTCGCGTTCACGCGGGGTGCCGACCTCGAGACGGGCCACGCCCGCGAGGGGGGCGGCGCGGAGAGCGGTTGAAGGCACCACCTCCTTTTCCTCTGCCTCCTTCCTCCTCCTGTTGTCCATCCTCAGTTCCTTCCCCCTCCCTCTCTGTCTTCTGCCTTTTTTGCCTCCTTTCTCCCTCCTCCCTTCCTTCATTCCATCCATCGTTTTCCTTCCGCGTCTCTCCGCGTGGGCCTGCGCCGCAGGTCGGGACTTCACAGTCTGCGTCTCCCCAGGACTTGAAAAGCGCCCGGCGCAGCCGCCCTGGCAACTTCACAAACAACTCTTTGTCACCCGGGCCCTGTCGTCAAAGCCGAGGCGCACCCATATCACACGGAATGAGACGGACCCCTCGTGCATGATGCAGGAGGGCGCCGCCAGGGTCCGCGCGGGGGACGCCGGTGGGCGGAGCGCGCCGCCGCCCGGAGCGGACCGTCACTGCCCTGCTGAGGTCCCCCACTTCCACCCCAGCCGCGGCCCGGGCTCCGAAAACCCGGCCTAGGATAGACCGAGGCGAGAAACCGCGCAGAGCGGTGATCGGAGAGGAGCGCAGTGGGGAGGAAGACAGACAGACAGACAGACAGACACCAGGGCAGGGGCTCAGACTGAGGGCAGGGGTCTACTGGGATGGACCCCGGTGGATCTACTTTCTGGGGTGTCCAGACGCAGGTCGACTCACGTTCAAATGCGACCCCCCATATCTGCCCCCTCTCCTCACCTCCTTCTACCCTGTCTCTCCTCCTCCCTCTCAATTCCTCAAGGATCGCACAGTGTACCCCTTCTCTGAACCTTCACAGGGTCTCCCCACATTCTCTCAAGGTCAGTCCTCTCCTGACCCCTGCGTGGCTCGGGCTCCATCCCTGCTCATGGGAGGAGAGGCCCGGATGTCCAGCCCGGACCCCTGCGCAGAGCTGGCCAGCCCCAGGGAGGAGCGCAGCACCAGGGTGGGCTGCCAGGCGTCCACCGCAGAGACACCAGGTTGCACAGGAGCTACCTCAAGCCCAGGTGAGAATTAAACGCCCCACCCGCCCACGGCCACACACTCCCGCTGGGGCCCTAATTGGGATTCCCAATGGACACAAGTTTGAGAAAAGTAGGACTTCACACCTTCACGGAGTTGTTGCCATTCCAGCCAAAGGCCTCCTTGCCCAGAGGGAGTAAGACCCTCTTTGGTAAACTGAGAGTGTGTTCTGGGCATCACGAGCCTGGCCAGTTCCTTCTCCCGGAACTCGTGGAGACCCCCCAGGATGGGGGGACCCTCGGGCCTACTCCTGCGTTCTGGCCACCAGGGCAAAGACGTGGTCATTGGTGTGCTCTTTTAAAGAGAGAGGCAGGGAGCATCGGACATTACAGTAGTCTTCACACCGGAGGCAGGGTAGGACATTTGCTGCCACGTAGTTTGGCCAATTCGAGCCGTCGCCCAAGGCCGCAGGGTGCAACTTCAAGAAATGTTGCATTTAGCCTGGAGCGCAGGCGGCTGGAGCCGGAGCGGGGGGTCTGCGCTCAGCCGGGACCGCGCATAAGGGGCGTTTGTTTGAGCGGTCGGAGAGCCTCCCAGACCGAGGCGAGGAGGACGCGGCGAACCGGGTTAGCCTTTCAAAATCTCCACGTGGGTGAGAAGGTGGGTGCTTTAAGGATGAGAAGAAAAACCAGGCTCAGAAAAGTTGCTGGATAGAAACGAAACAGCAGTCGAGTTTTATTTACCTAATTTTTTTTTTTCAAATAAATAAAAACAGAAAGAAGGAAACCGTGCAGGAGCGTTTGGAAACCTCGCTCAGAGAAAGTTCCCCAAACTCCGCACAGAGGCTGGAGCTCGCCCGGGGCGTGGAAACGGACCCGAGAAAGAAGCCTCTGTGCCTGGGTGCCCCGCGATGCCGGCTTCTCCGGACACCCGGCGTGGACCTCGGCTGCGGGAGGCGGGCACTCTGAGCCGGCTCCTACCCCACAGCGAACCCACTGATGTTCCAAACCTAAAAGACAAATAAAGTGAAATCAAACGTATTCAGAATTCTTGGAGACCTTGACGTGGGGAGGGAAAGGCCTCCGGACGAAGGACGGAGAGGCGGGCGCTCATTTTAAAACAAACGTGGATTCTAGGCGCGGAGGGATCGGCCTGTTGTGGTCACCACGCTCCTGCCGCCCGGTCCACGCCAGCCCCCGAGTCCTGAGCGAGAGGCCAGCTCCAGACCCAAGTGGCGGGCGGTCCGGGCAGGTTGGAGGCGCACCGGGGAAGCAGTTGCTGTCCTAGCGTGGTGTCTCCTCGCGTGCGCTGGTCCCACTCGCCCGTGGACCACGAACCTGGTGGCCCCATTCCACTCCAGGCTCCTTCTCGCCCTCCTTGCATTCCACTGACCCCACCCGGGCCAACAGCCACCTCTCGGGTGGCTCCAGACGCTTAGGGGTCTTGCATCCCCACACCCTCAACTCTGTCTCAGGGTGCGCGCTTCTGCCCAGTGCAGAGCGCGACGAGCCAGCCCTCAGGCCGCAGACGGGGCTTAGAAACTGGGACCTGCTGGTCAGGAGAGGCCGGAAACGACTAGAACCGGGCGGGCGGCCGCCACCGGGTGCTGCCTGGGCCGTTGAGGCGCCAAAGCGACGCGGTGAGAGTCGCCAAGGTGGGCTTTCCTGCCTTGCGGAGTCGCATGAGGACTTACCCTCTCCTTCCGTTTGGGACTTGTTCCAGTTGCTGGTCCTGTGTGCCCGGCCCTCCCAGGGCACCTAGCCTCTGAGGGCCGCCGCGGCCACCGCCGAGCCAGCACTCACAGAGCCCCAACCTGCAAGGGGCTTGCTGCAAAGGACCGAGACCATAGGGCCTTAGTGCCTGGACTTCAGCCTTCCCGGTTTCATAACAGGATCCTGCTTGCTGTAGGTAGATTAGGCAAATTGGAATGAATGGGCCCAGTCGCTACAGACTTGTTTATTCAAATAATAATAATGATGATGATGCAAAAGAGAATGAATTAGTATGCAAATATTCAGCATTTGGTTTCTGGAATTCCTCAAATGGATGGTTTGGATGTTTCAGCGTGAGCCCAGTGTAGCTTCAGAAGCAGGCTCTCGGCGGAGAGGAATGTATTTGCTTTCAATCCAGTTTCCCGGCCTGCGGAGGAGAAGGCAGGCCGGGGTCGGCCCAGGGGGTCCCTCTGCTGTCGGCCCGCGCGCTCAGGGCTGGCGGGGCCTGGTTTCCCCGCGCGCACGCAGGAAAGCCAGGTTGCAAGGAAAGCCCCACCAGCCGGGCCCCCTTTCCCCGACTCATTGGGTAGACAATTTCCCTTAATAGGGACGGAGCGGTGTTAATAGTTTTCGCATCCTGAGTAAGCCGTTTGAACAACAATCTCCCCCACTCCCTGCACATGGGATATTCATCAGTATTGATCTGGGGTTCAGGACTTTACAGATGTCTTAACGCATTTCATAGCCCAGACTCGTCCTCCCCCCCGCCCCCTTTCAAATTTAGAGACGGTGCATTTGTATTCTCTCCTACCATGTTTATTGATTGACGCCAACGTTCCAGCTCCAATGCAAGGCTAATAGATTTTCATTAAAATAGGCTTTGTCAATCCGACTTGTGAATGAATGGGACGGATGTTACCACA